AGACACAACTGACTCTTTATTCCCCATTAAGATTATAGGCAAGAAGACAGTTCTACTTTACAGCTTTCAACAATACTGCAGTACTCCACTACTGCCCATAAAGATATTGCTCAAAGAAGGCATGAGCTGTTTATTTTAAAGACACAAAAAATAGCTTGACAAGTAATGGAAAAAGAATCTGAATTGGAAATGCCAGTTTAATCATGCATTTTGAGATCCTGATTTTACATTAGGGTTTCTTTAAAGCACCTGGTAAATGACATTGCTTATATACCACAGAATAGCTCTCCCCACACTAAGTCTGCACCAGGCTACCACAAATAAATCTTGGCAGACCATTACTTCACACATCCTTAATGAAACAATGTAGTAGTGATGAAGTCAAGGACATTTGCTGTCAGTAAACCACTTCTAATCTAGAAGAGGACTTTGTATTTTGAGGGCTGGCTGTAGCAAAAAACCCCACTTCTGCTAAAACACCACCAAGACAACACACAGAGTTCCCCATGCAAAGTTTACTACTTTTTTTATCAATGGTCTCCCAGATGCACATTTAATATTTCTTGGCCTTCTGAGCTTTTTTTCCACTACATTTACAATAATTACTTCTGTGATAGCAAATATCTGGTTAGAACAAAAGAGTCTGCATTTGACAGCTACATTGCTCCGAAACACCAACCCACCTGCTTCTTTTTGAGTTTTTATGTGTAGAATAGCAGTGCTTCTCAAATTTTCTGTTGTTTCTCTTTAAAACTAGTTTTGAAACTCTGAAAGCAACAGAACAGTGACTTATAATTTAGGAAAACAGGAGTATTAGTAGGTATTCATTTAAGAGAGTTACAACTCCTGTGCCACACGCGGTACTGCTACAGATACAAAACATTATCCACCACACTGGACAGTGATTAGATGTTGTTGCATGTTAAGCCAGAACTGTGTCGTTCTAATTTAACGGGCAGACATCCATGAGACAAAAACCAAGCTGGCACACAGCAGAATAGGGTCTGATAAGCAGTCTAGGAGCAATTATAAAGCAATAGAGTATCCATAAAATTGATATCCTATTTCCAACCTCAGGCGAGGTACAGACCTTAATTTTTTTTCCCAGTGCTGGGAGCTAACCAATTAGAGCTAAAAGATGACCAGAGAACAAAACAGTCTCTGGAAGAGTGGGCAAGTCAGGAGGACAAAATCAATTTTACACAAGCAAAATGGGAAAGATGAAATATTATCAGCTGAAGATAAAGGCCATGTTGGACAGCTTCTGTGGTGGGTTCTGCAGGCTGCCAGACCTATGGGACTTCTGCATGGAACATTGTGAGGTGTGAATACAGGCTTTAAAGAGGGAAATAGTCTTCTTTTTAAATAAACAATTCATTATTTTTAGAAGATCACCTGGAGGGCAAGAGGGGTGCTCACTAGTATTATTTCTTCTGGGTAAAAGATCTATCCCTGAGAGAAGCCTGGGGAGGTAAACACAGCCAGACCCAGGTAGAATGCTGCCCAAAAGGCTGGCCATTGAGTTGGAAAAAAATTGAAGGAATACATCTTAAGAAAGGCTCACGATCAGCATCACTGACCTGGAGGGGAGATACCGGATGCTATCAGGAGTCTTCTCTCACAACTGTGCTGGAGACAGTACTTTGAAATATATACCAAAACCAACAGTTGGTACTGCATTCATTAACTTCTTTTAAAGCGTACCAACACTGACAGGATGTAAAAACACTAAGTTTTATGCTGGGCAGTCTGCCTTTGTAGGAGTCAGCAATTTTGGGGATGATACCTGCCATGTTGCTATTATTTCTGTCTTATACAGTCATGGCAAGGCAGTGCATTTGTTGTGATTCACTCCATCTTGCAATATAGCCAGCATAGCTAGCTCCCATTCTTCCTCTATCAAATCTTCTTCTGTCATTGCTTGAGAGTACATCCAAGTGCCCAAATTCAGTCATTCACTAACTGTAATTTAATGCATTTGTTACTATATGCTGCCTTTCAAACAGAAGTGATCTTCCTAAGTTCATGTTTCTGAACAATTTGTGCTTCTGAATATCCAGCTGTTCTTCACCATTTTCCTCCAGCAGGTTGACCCAAACCATTCCAGTTTCTCTCTCACTGTATTGACTGTTTAGTTTTCATATTCCTCCTCCCTATTCACCATACTGACCACTGAAACGTGAAGTAAATGTTTTAAGTTTAAACACTCCAACAAGGGGCTCTTCTAGACACATTTGTGTCAGTATTATGGGGTTCATGCCAAAGCATGCGGTATGTTAGCTGAGCAATGCAGTTTATTTACTCCAATTGCTTCAGCCACTAACCAACTACGTGACATCCTGAACAATTACTTCTTTAAAATATGTAACGGAAGAATTTAATACAAAAATAAAAACCAGGAACAAACTCATCTTAATTACATGCAGTCAGAGACTAACAAAACAGTATGAGATGTCCGTAGTTTGAGCAAGCTAAGACCTTGATTTTTTTAAAATGTATTATTCTTTCTTTTGTTTAGGATATACATCCAAGTAATGCTTACTTTTTTTGCCATCTACAGAGCCCTAAGGTCCTTTAATGCAGCTTTCATCTTCTTTTCTTGACACACCATCAAACTATGCATCCAAAAAGAGTTGTCTTTAGGAAGGGAGGCCCCAGGCACCACATTACACAGTTGCCTGGTTCATATCAATGGGAATTGGGAAAAATAATCAACCACTTTTAAATACAGTTTAAAAATCATGCAGTTGAACTTGCCTATCCTATTTACATGAAGTCTCCTGTAGTGATCCCATGCAGTAGTAAAATTTACTACAATTTCTGTAAGGCAATAACAACTGGAGATACACAATAGCATCATGTCTCTCTCTCTTCAAAGAGGTTTTACAAAGCAATAAAGCCCTCCTAGCATAAACTGTACTTCAGACCTCTAGAAAGTCTGGAACAGTTTCAGATTTGGTACAAACTACAGATGTATTCTGTTACTCTTCTTGCCTTCCCCTCCTCAATGGATTCCTGTTCTTCTTTTTCTTTTTCTTTAGAAATGCTTTTTTTAAAAATGTTTTTTAAATTTTTTTTTTCTGTCTTGCAACCCTGATACTCCTTCTCCATTCCCTCACCCATGAGTTATTTTCTGCCTGGTTTAGAGAAAGACTCACGCTGAGACAGGCTAGTCATAGTAGCAGAGGCAAGAAGCCAGCCCTTACTCCTGCATCCGTGTGTACCTGCGAATGAGCCTCACTGCCAACTGGGTTACATATCACAGTGCATGCAGAGACCAAAGAGGTGTTCTTCCAAGAGCGCACACTCTGGCAAGTCTGTGTCTAGAAGTAAGCACAAACCTGTAGCTTTCACTACTGATATTAATCTTTTCCATCAGAAACAACCTATTCTGCGACTCCTTGCAAAGGTCTTTGTGCACATGAAGATTGGCACTCATATAAGCACAGGAGATAATATTCTTTTCTGCTTTGGGGAAGTCGTATTACCAGACAGCAGAAGAGAACCCACCCAGCAGCCTTCCAAGCTACTTAAGCACACAATGTTTTCTTTTTTTGTCCTCCCCTGAAACATAATTTATCAGTAAGTGCTGAAGTAAAGATCCAGGACTTGATGGACCAGTTGGTTGATCTGACATGGCAAATACTCTATTCCTCACATAAACCACCACTTTCTTCTTCCTCTTCCACCTATCTTACCTATCTTTGAGCATTTGTAGCCCTCTATGAATATCTGACCTTTGACTGTATGGCATGGGGTTTTTTACTATGCTTATTACTTTCAACCCATAAAACACAATTTAGCAGCCACTGGAATACTGCCTGTTTCAATCATACCCATGTTCATGCTCTGAAGAGATGTTGGTACCATTTTAAGAGCTTTTCAGTTACTAACTTTCACTTTGTTCTCAAAGATGTGCACTCACAGTCTTAGCTCCATATACAAAGTAACTAACCTCAAAAAAACCGGCAGCAGAGCTGTGATGAAAAGCATGGTATGTTGATATGGCAGCACAGTTCTAAAAAATCCTGAAGCATTCAAACTGACATTTAGATAGCCTCAATCTCACTTGTGACCTTCCTCTGTTCTAGTTTAGACAACATCCCACTCAGCTGCTGGACTATACCTGTGGAGACTGCTCCCTCTCTCCACTGAAAAAGCAGGCTGTCTGAAGACAATGCTGCATGGGTTTAAAACATCAGTTAGATACAGGCAATTCTGAATGGATGCTGGTCTCCATCAGTGCAACAGGATTTTCTGCAGTTTGGCTGAGAAATTCAGCTAGTATGTGATCACCAGAAAGTATTACAGTAGCCTAATTTTTGCACAGAACAGAAAAATTCATTGTTGTGAAATATCATGACAGTAAATCACAAGGAATTCAATTAATCTTCCTTGGATGAAGGACTGTGTCAAATGTAAAACAGTGGAAACCTCTGTCTCCAAGAAGTCTGTGCTGGTTCAAACCTGCTTAGGCAGCCAAACCATCCTTTCAGCTACACATTCTTACAGCTTGTGATTTTCAACTGATATTTTTCCCCAGCAGTGCTATTGCAGCAAGCTGTCACACATGAGCATCAAAAGAATGGTCAATACATGAAGAACTTATTTGTCTTTAACCAGGAAGTTTACCAAATACAAAATTATTTGTGGTACAAACAGATATCATCATAGTTGTCTCACACTCATTTCTCCACATTTAAAGTGACATATGAAAAAAACATAGGGAGATATATGGGAGAAAACACCATCAGCACAACACAGCAAGACAAATACTGGAAAAACAAACAAGCACAAGGATTAGTTTTAGAAATGGAAAGACCATGAAGACAGGAAATCAAAAGAATACCCTGACTTGTTTATCTTCACAGTACACCCAGGAGGAGGGTGACACACCAGTAGCACACCTCATTTAACAGGCTCCTTGTGTATAACTGAGAACAGAGTTAGTGAGCAGATCATTCCCCACTAGATGTATCACATTATGCAATAACTCTTACCTAAAGCTTTCTGGGTATTCAACAACAGCCATGTTGATAACATCCAGTGCATGCTGATAGTGCTTCTGAGCTGAAAAGAGGAGGGCCAGTAGATGAAGTGAATTCATGTCATCTTTGCACAGTTGCAGTGCTTCTTGAAGATGTTCTATAGCATCAGAAATCTGGGAGAGGATGGGGTAGAAATAAAAAGAGAACACATTTCTCCTTCAGTCCTACATTATATCCCAAAGGCAAGAAAAATATAGTCATTAGAATTTCTGAAGAAATCCTACTTAGGCACCTTTGAGAAAGACTTCTACCTGAACAGTTTGCCAAAATTAACAGACTGCACTGCTTGAAAAAACATACACACTCTAGAGAAAGAATCTGCAGCATTACTAAATCACTGCTCGTAAACAGGAGCAGCAAACCTGATCCAATCAACCCCCTTCTTACTTTGGCAGGGTGTTTCTATGCTGTAAACAGCTCCACTACAGAGGCCCAATTGTCAACTCCGTTTTCTAGGATGGGTGGCTTGCTCTTCACCTGGGGGAGAGCATTACACATCTCTGCTGCATGTTGTCTCTTGTGATGATGGCTGTACAAGGCCTTTTGTGATTTGGATCAAGAACATAAAAATTAAGTTTGAATGTTCAAGGGTAAAAGAGTCAAGATTCAAAATGCTGTCAGAAAAAGAAATATCTTTGCATGCAGTGATGTAAAGAGCAGTCCTGACACTCACAGCAACAGCATGTCATTAGAATCAAGTCTCACTTGGCAGAAAGCTTAACATCTATAATGAATGCAAGTATATCACATGCTCTTTGTGATCCAATACCCTATTTTAGTCTATCTGTTCAAAAGGGAACTTCTTAGTTGATTTTCTTTCCTTTGGCTACCAATAAGTTTTATATAGAGGATTTTCTTTAAGATTCCCTAGTGTCTGAAATTACTGTTACTTAAATTATTCCAGATCTGTGTTTGGCCCTGGAAGCCTGCAGAAAACAAAAGAGAAAGATTTATAAATTTATTTTCCTCATATATACTTTCCCTCTCCTTCCCTTAAGGGATGAAGAACATAGTTCCTTCTTTCCTACTACAAGAACTTCCCACCTAGCAAAACTGTGCAGATTTTCTCCTGCCTTGGCATACAACCAGTGTCAAATTCCCACTGCCTCCACAGATCACTCAGGAAAACAGGTATCACATAACTAAGGAAAGCAACAATTACACTGCCCGAGTTACAACAGAGGTTGCTGTTTATCTATATTTCAGGTATAGTTCTGTGAGCATGGTACATATTTTGTTCATGGGACAACTTCATCCTAATGTCCAAGTGATATTTCACTCCTACCGTGCATATGCAAGCCAAAGTAATTAACTACTCTATTACTGGTGACTCCATGAAAATCTGGAGATCAGTGCAACTGGCTCCACAGACATGACCCCAAACTGGCAGCTGGCCCACGGCTTCAAAACTGCTGAACGTACTGGCTTAGATTCAGGTTGGGATATAAGACTGAGCGCTCAGCTTTAATGAATTACTGCTTGTCAGTGGAGCCACTTTAACCACATGTGTTTGCCTACTGCAAAGGTAAACACATTGGCTTAAATCACCAGTGTTCCCTCAGCAGCGTACTAGGACACATTTTCTTACAATGTAAAACCACATGCCAGGACACCAGGCATGAGACTGGTGGGCTCAGATCTGTCTGTCCATGAAGTTCTTCAGTAGGTATACTAGAGGTATATAAATTTGACTTGCTCAAACAAAGCTGCTATCGACTCTTCTTCAACTCAGGACTAAAAACACCTCTTATTTTTTCTATTCCTCTGTCTCAGACTGGCACAAGTAGTCATAAAGTAATTCCAAGTTTGGTGAAAAATAAGTTCATTAGAAGAAAATCTGTAAACTAAACAATAGGATGGGGCTTTGAGCAACCTGTTCCACCTGACCCTGCTTTGAGCAAGGATTGAACCGAATGTTCTCCAAAGGTCCCCTCCAACTATTCTATGATTCTGTTCAAAGACTTGCAAATGTGATCCTGATTTTCAAGTATGAATCAGACAAAGAATAATACTTGCAACTAGTGTCTTTACTGAGAGACTTTGAAATTGTAAGGATACCTTACTTGAACGTGAACATGCAAACTAAGTCACTGAGACTTTGTTTTATATGTGCAAACATCCGATGATCACACAACTGCAAGTTCATACCCCTAAAAGAGGCCAGCTATTAAAGCAGCTCTCTGACTGAAGCAGCACAAAAGTCAGCCATTGTCACTTCTGGAAACCTGTGCCTGCTGAACAGGCAGTCATGTACTGTTGAAATAGACATAATCTAAAATAATTTTCCCCCGTTCTATAGCACAGGGCTTGCAACAGTTACATCTCATTTCAGTGCTTCCCTCTAGTACCATCAGAGTCACAAGCAATGGCTGTTCTTGGAAGTTAATCGTGCTTTCCTGACACCTGACTGTTCAACATGAGCCCAAAAAGATTCCTTAGTGCTGTAACAACATTAGTAGCCTACATAGTACTGCTGCATAATTAGAAAGAGTGGACAAAACATAGATAAGAAAAAAATAACCTTCAATAATAGGAAGAGACTCTATTCATTTATGGGAAACATTATACAAACAACAACCTGTAGCAAAACAGATGCAATGAAATACAACCCCTAGAACAATAAAACTAAGATATTTGGCAACAGTCAACACACTTCTTCTGAAAAGCAGAGATCAGTCTATTGACAGATGCCACAGCTTATTTATTTAAGTAACTATAATATGAGAAAGATGGAAGCTGGCAGCCCAGATGGCACCCTAAAACTTCAGGGCTGTATCGGAAATAGGCTGCCAGTTTAAATTCCCTACAAGTGCTGCGCTTTAAACTAATCTTTGTTTAACTGGACTGCAAAGCTGAGTGAGGCATGCAATTAGAAGATGCTATGCTTCTCTGATTCATCTGTCTGTTAATAAATATACCACACATGTTCTGCATAGCACACAGGTATATTCAGATCACCCTGATTATGAAGCAAAGATACTGCAGTAAGTCAGAAATAGCATCTTGCAGCACTACCAAAATAATGTCACAATATGGATTGTTTAGGCTGCCAATTATATAAATAGGTTTAAATTCAATAACACTATATGTTTCCTTAAAAACAATACTGGGATATTATAATTGTAGGTATAAAAAGGAAAACAGTATAAGTGTTAAAAATAATACCCAACAGTAGAATGTCCTTGCATATTTAGAATGGTAAATGAAACAGCATCTTACAATAGGAAGTTTCAGGCCTTGTAATTTCACATCAGTTGTGAGTTACAGTTAATTAACCATTGAAACTATCCTCTCCATCTCATTTTATAGCACAGGAATTATAGAAAGGAGAAAGCTTTATTGACTGGGAAGAGCTTCCATTGGAAACAGACTTGCTACAGTCCACCAGAACTTGAGGAAAGCAGACAGGGACTCACCTCTGTGTTAAGTTATTACTGAATTCTTAATACAAGCTGGTTTTGATCACCAGAAAAATCTAGACTAGGACCTAAACAGAAAAGGAGCAGGTTGCTATTTAGCAGAGGAGGCACTAGCTGGTCTGGGAGAAGCACAGACCAAAACTACCCACCATCCAGCAGTTGCTGAAAGAAGCCCCTCTCAATACCTGCTAAACCAGCACTCCCCTCCTGGGGCAAAGAAAAGACAGCAGCATCACCTTCTTGAAACCAGAATACAAAGTGTAGTGAAAACAACTGAAATGTTTTCTCTGGTGTCTTAACCAATGTTTACTTTATTTTTACATCCAGACACACTATAGAAGGCAGTAGGTGTTTTTTGGACATTGCCACTTGAAACTTCAGGTCTGTTGGCAGCCCACAGATGAAATTGGTTAAGTGAGATCTCTAATTCTCAGCTGCTGGCCCCTGGCTGTCTTTTCCTTCCTATTTTCATGCAAAGGTCAAATTAAATAAAGTATTAAAATGGTATGAAGCCCCCATGTGTTGTTTTTATGTATCTGATACTGATTTACATGGCATTCAAGGTCAAAAAAACCACTACCACCCAAAACGAGAAGGGAACCAGCACTTAAAATTAACAAGAGCACTGACTCTCTAGAATCATTTCCATAGAAACTGGCCTGCTAAAAAACAAGGCAAGGCATTAAAATCAGTGAGCTTTAAAATGTTCATTCTACCTTGTTTTTGCTGATCCAAATGCTGTTACCACAGAAACAGGAGAAGCAGCCGAACCAGCCGCCAGGAGTTGGGAGTTACAAGTCATTCGTCAATCGGCTTGGCTGGCTGCCAGGCAGTTGCTGCAGGTGGAGATAACGACCAGAACAAATACTGACCTTGGCCTTATGGCACTTTAGCTCTATGGGAAATCCAGATTGAGACCAACCTTACAGAAGAGGATATTCTAGTCTCTATTTTGCTGAAAAATCCACCCTAAAATGCTATGGGGCTGGCCCAGACCCTCCAGGAGTCACTGAAGTCCTTCCAGTGATTCCAGTGGTCTTCAAGACACAGACACACACACACACACAGAGAACACCATCATCATCTTTCAGTCTGGTTGCCAGCTCCAAGAAAATCTTTTATTACTATTCCTCCTCTTGTCACATCCTTACTGTGAGTCAGAGGGAATCTTATATTTTTCCATTTCCCCTTTCCCTTGCCCAGTGCTGACAGAGACAAGTGCTTTTGGAAATATTTTAGAGTCTTACAAGAAAGATAAATTGCTCCAACTTTGCTTGGCACTCTACCAGTCAGCTGCCTGTCTTGCTTTGTTCCATGAAAATGCTCTTATCTATGCAAGCTGATACCTAGATTTTTTCAGTGTTGGGTAAGGTTACCTCATTTAGTGACCTTGACTATGAAAACAAAAAGACCTATTTGTCAAGAATAACATTCAGGTATTATATTATAGCCTACTGTGTAGGAATGGTCTCTGATTTATTGGTACTGTAGCATCACCTGATGAAAGTCCTAACTGTGACGTTCAATAGTTAATGCAATCTATCAAAAAAAAAAAAGGTATCATTTATCTTTCAGTTAATCAGAAAGAGAATATATTAGATACTTCAAATAATTAAGGATATTAAAAATGCATTACCAAATGTTTATCATTAAGTAAACTGGCAAAAGAAGAGTAGGATATTTTACAGCAGTCTAAAAATAAAGTTGTCTCAGGTATCTCCTCTCTCTCCAAACATGCATTAAAGATTTATATCTCGCTAGATGGAGAAGAGCAGGAGCAGCATTGCAGGGGTCTACATAACACACCTAAACCACACATCTGTGGCAGCAGGGGCAACTGGCAGAACATCAAGAATGAAAATACACAGGTGAGGTAGACAGAAGAGAAAGTGAATATGAGACTGAATGGAAAGAAGAGGAGGGAAGGGAAATGATGAAACAAGACATATGAAATAACACTGTAAAAATAGGCTACACTTGGAGTAGTCCAGTGAAGTTCCTGCTGACTGGAAAAGGGGAAACAACCTTCATTTTTAAAGATGGAAAAAAGGAAGACCCAGGGACTACACGCTAGTCCACCCTGTGTCCACCAAGATCATGGAATAGATCCTGCTGGAACTGTGCTAGGGCACATGGAAAATAGGGATGTGTATGGTGATGGCCAACATGGCTTCACTAGGCAAATCATGCCTGACAAATTTGGTGGCCTTCTACAACGGAGTTACAGCGTTGGTAGCTAAGGGAATGGCAACTGACATCATCTACCTGGACCTGTTTGAAGCATTTGACACTGTCCTGCATGACATCCTTGTCTTTGAATTGGAGAGACATAGATTTGGCAGATGGACCGTTCGGTGGATAAGGAATTGGCTGGATGGTCGCACTCAAAGAGTTGCAGTCAATGGCCCAATGTCCAAGTGGAGAGTGGTGATGAGTGGTGCGCCTCCAGGGTTGGTATTGGGACTGATGATGTTTAACATCTTTGTTAGTGACACAGTGTGGCAGGTGCATCTGCCCAGTGAAAATAGGGCTTATTGGCTGCTGAAGTGTAGCAGCTATTGATTGCCTTTATTCTCAGGGCCTTACAGCAGTCCCAGCTTTTGGCCAACGGGAGCCGCTATTGACTACAGGTCAGATTCAGCCTCAGTATAAATGGAGTCCCCTGGGGGAACCATTTTGAGCTTGTCCCCTGGAGCAGCACACTGTGGTCGAGTACTCTACCCTTGGGTGGGGATGCCACCCAAGGAAACTCCTCTAGGTGTCTTGGGTCGGGACGCTGCCCTGAGCAGGTCCTCGAGGTTGAGAGCACTCACTTGTTAGGTGAGTGATAGAGCATTCTGGGTTGTTGTTAAATCCTAGGGAGTGGTGCTTTGTTCTGCATTTTGAGCTGTTGTTAAACCCTAGGAAGTTGTTCTGTTCTCTCAAACACGTTTGAACCTGTAATTTACGGAGAACTAGTTAACTGTGTTAATAATATATTTTTAATTTTTGGCGGTTGGTTGTTTATTTGAGAGCCTCTGTAACACATGGACAGTGGGACTGAGTGCATCCTCAGCAAGTCTGCCAATGACACCAAGCTGTGTAGTGCAGTTGACATGCTGGAGGGAAGGGATGGGCCATCTAGAGGGACCTGAACAGGTTGGAGAGGTGGGCCTGTGTGAACCTCATGAAGTTCATCAAAGCTAAGTGCAAGGTCCTGCACGTGGGTCAGGGCAATCACAAACACAGGCTGGGCGATGAGTGGATTGAGAGCAGCCCTGTGGAGAAGTGCTTGGGGGTGCTGTCAAATGAAAGATTGACTATGAACCAGCAGTGTGCTCATATTGCATCCTGGGCTCCATCAAAATAAGTCTAGCAGGTCAAGGGAGGTGATTCTCCCCCTCTACTCCACTCCCATGAGACCCCACCTGAAGTACTACATCCAGCTCTGGGGTCTCCCAGCATAAGACAGACATAGACCTACTTGAGCGGGTCCAGAGGAGGCCATGAAGATAATCAGGGATCTGGAGCATCTTCCTTATGAGGACAGGCTGAGAGAGTTGGGGTTGTTCAGCTAAGAGAAGAAAAGGCTCCAGTACTTAAAGGGGGCTACAGGAAAGATGGGGAGGGACTCTTTATCAGGGGTGTAGTGATAGGACAAGGGGTAACGATTTTAAAGTTAGAGAGGGTAGATTTAGATTAGACGTAAAGAAGAAATTCTTCACTGTGAGGGTGGTGAGGCACTGAAACAGGTTGATCAGAGAAGCTGTAGGTGCCCCCTCCCTGGAAGTGTTCAAGGCCAGGTTGGACGAGGCTTTGAGCAACCTGGTCTAGTGGAAGGTGTCCCTCCCATGGCAGTGCGAGTGGACATAGATGATCGTTAAGGTCTCTTCCAACCCAAACCATTCTATAGTTCTATGAAAAAGAAAGGGTAATGAGTTAAAATAGAGTAAACCAGTAACTGTGAAAATAACAAAGAACCAATGACCAGAAAAATCTTGATTTTATTAAGCATAACAGTGAAGAGCTATAATGCTTTTGCTCATGGCAAGAAGCAGAAGAGGCAGCAGATCAGACAACCTCCCTAAGAGGCAAAAGCTTTGAGAGAAAGAAGGGTAGCTGGATATTTTTTAATGAAAGACCCTGAGCAAACTGCATCATAAAGCAGCCAGTAGGCAGATGATAAAGTTAAATAAGCCATTTTAATTATCCTTTCTTATTGCAGGCTTCCTCACAACACACTGCTCATTATGAAAGTGTTACAAAAGTGACATTATCAAGAGCGTGCTCTCTTGGAACAATTAGTTTAACCTAATGAACACGCAGTTCCCCTAATTAGTTCAGGAAAGTAAGAAGGATCCAACTCTTTGACTCTTAGTGTAGACTAAGGAGACAAAACTGCAGCACGCAGAAAGCCTGCCAAAGAAGGAAACTATGATGATGAAATTTCAAATCTAGCTAGAGAAGCATTTAAAAAAATAGAGGCTGCTCCAATATACTCTGGCTTTTAAACAGAAGGGACAGAGAAATAAAACACATCCTGATCATAAAACGAAGAGACAGAAAACTAAAGTACAGCCCAAATGTTTTTTTTTTCTGAAAGGCAGTGCAGTGTATTTTCTGATCAGCTTAATTTTTTATGAGTTAACACCTGCAGCAGCATTCAAATGCCAACTAATCCCACTCGCTGCAGAGCTCCAGCACCCATCAAAGCCTAACACCGAACGTGCCCAAGTATGGAATAAACCCATCCCCAGTGCAGAGAGTGTGATCTAGCGTGATACAGAACCAGGCAGTAATGAGAGAGCCTCTGGAGTGGCCTGCAGCAGGACACAGCATGATACCAGGGAACAGGAATAAACACACCTCACTTGCCCCACACAAAGTTGCTCCAAGAGGGAACAGCACTGCTCAGGAGTTAGAGCCGAATGCATGCCCTAGAGAAGGTCATTCCATGTGCTATAGAATTACTATTTAAAATAATAATAATTAAAAAGCCTTACATGAACATATTCTGATTGCTTGTTATCAATTACAATGTAGGAAGGACCCTGTTTAGCAAGTCTGTGTCCTGTTCCAATTGGACTGTCCTTCTCTCACCCTCTCATGACTCAGTGGTTGACAATTATTGCACATACCTGTCTGACAAGAGCCAGCTGCAGTGACAGGTAGAGGATGATTTGGTGATCTTCTGGGGCCAAGTCACGTGCTCTTTAAGGACAACCACACAATACAAAAAAAAAAAAGTGACTGTTAGATTGTACTTTGCAGAACTCCTTTGCCATGAGTCACACACAAGCACAGAACAAGCCCGTCCTCTCTCACACAAAACTATTCCAGTGATGGGGCAGCACACTGAAAAGATGACAAAAAGCAGATCAATGCTGGCCTGGCTAAGCCAGGCTCACAGGAACAATTGCCAGGATGTTATACAACTTACATGCTACTTCATTAAATGCCACTCTGTGTTTTGGAACTTGGATAATTGATACGGAAAAAGTAGCTCTTAACTCATGACAAACCTGTTAAAGTATTATTTTAAGTAATTTAGGTAAGGAAGATAGTTGTCCAACTTCTTCCTATATTGCCACTTTCTTTTCAAACAATAGGAGAGGGTTAGGTTAGCACTGAAAAAATAACAACTATTTCTGATATTATTGTGACTATGAGCATGTAGAGGGCTAAAGATCAGGATTCCATGACGTGAGCTGGTGCTCAAACACACAAAACATCCTCCACCCTGCAGCTTCTAATCTAATTGTTGACAGTAGACTCCTAATTTGGAAAGGGAAGACACTGAGGGAAGAATAAGGATTTGATGGCAGGAGCTGAGCCTGGACCAAAACCAAGCTCCTTACATCTCAAGCTGGGACCTCTTAGATATTACCTTCTAGTCCACCGCAGGCAACAGTGTGTTCTGCAATGATCCCTTGGCTAGTGAAGGCTGCAGTGGCTCCACGACGAGATGTATAGGCCCTTCACACAGGCCTGTGCAAGGGAACAGGGATGGACAACCAGGGCAGAACTGTCCCTGTCAGACTACGCTAAGCATGAAACTGCAGTATGAGATTGCTAGTCTGTGGAGAAGGCAGTAACAAAGGCAATGTGAAGATAGTGTTTTGGGGACCTAACCTAGGAGCACTGGCTCATGCCACTCTGGCAGCCTAGTCCACGGACCAGTGGATTATCACCTCACTGACCCACAGAGCTCACTCCGAGCTCTGCAGCACAGGTAAGTCATTTCACATGGGAGAAGTGGGGAGGAGGAAGGTCCTCATAGCCAAGTAACATTCCTCACCCCTTTCTGGGCTGTGTTCCAGGACACCAGGGAAGCCTGCACCTGCATCGCCCTGCCCAAAGCGAGCATGATTAACATCCTTATGAGGAGAAAGGAGAGGCTGACAAGGCTCGTGGTTAAAAACCATGCCAGAACTATTATTTTGCTAATAATAAACAAACAAAAAGCAAAGAACTACTTCAGGAAACAAATCACACACCATTTTAATGGCAGCCACCTCTGTTGGAGTTGACCTTTAATGGTTCTAGAACAAATTAATTTAATATGGACTGAATGCATCATGTAACTCTGCAAGTCAAGGTAGCACTCAAGGATTCTGAAGCAATGACAAAGACATCAAGGTATAATTGGTACAAGCAAGTCACAAATTTCTCCCCCCACTTAAAAAAACCCTAACAAAATCCCAACCCCACAACAAAAATAAAACCACCTTCAAAAAACAAACAACAACAGGACTCCACAAAATAGAAGCCAGCTTTGCTCTAAGCTGTTGGAGCAGGGTAAGCCACCTCTTTAGCAAGCAGATCCTGTGAAACCTTCAGTAGCCTCTCCAATAATAAATAACAGGGGAAAGTTCACATGGGTGTATGGGAGAAGAGATTAATGGTGCTTTTGGAAAGAAACAAAGAGTTGTTACTTTACTGTTCAATTTCTTCAAAAGGTATTAGAAAAACATCTGATCCAATCTTCCAGCTGAAAAGGCCTCTTAGAAAGATGGCTATAGGCCAAATCATGGTCTGAGAGATTATACATGTACTTTAAAAATAGGTGAAAAACAAGGAAGAGTAAAAAAAAGAAAGAAACCAAACTAGGACATTTAGGAAGACATCAGTAACCAGCTCACTATCACAACATCCCTGTTGGCTGAAGTTTGAGTACCTTATGTTTGGCTAGAAGCTTGTCTGCTTCCTAGCTAGAGTTAAGATACCATGAAAACAAGCCACAACCGGTGGGAAAGGTCAAAGAATAAAAATAAGTGCAGTTTAAAAGCACTGCAGCATGGCAATTACATCAAAATTGGGTAGCAGTAGAAGTATTACACTGGAGTCCAAGAACTAGTGCAACTTAAAAGCATACTCCTGATCTAAAAAGTGACCGAATAAATGGATTTTTAAAACTTTATCTTTCAGATCTCCACAGGGTAAATATCCAGAATTACATCTGTGATTTCAGCTTACTACATGCTTTTGCAACCACTGCAAAACCAGTGCAAGACAAACATGTGACTCCTTGCTTAGCACCAGAAAAACAGCTAAGATCCAGTAACATTTTCAACCTGCTATATCTGTACTTTGAGATACCAGAGATCCCAAACTTTTTTTTCACTTTTGTAGTGTATTTATGACCACACCAAACCCAGAATTAGACACTTCAGCCAAGACTTAGACCATACAAGCTTCCATTTACTTGCCATCTGATATCTGTAGGCATCAACATTTACAATGTTGACTGCCCAAACACCACCTAGTGTATTTTGGGTGGTTTAACTTAGTTGTAACAGGGTCAGGAAGCTCACACCTCACCTTCCTACCACAACAGAACTGACAGAAAAGGTTTTTAACCCAAGAAGTTTTGCTTTAGGTAACTGTAGTTGCAGAGGAGTTTAATTCACAGATGCTTTCAGGGCCAAGCTACTGTATCAGGCTCCCCCAACAAAATACAGCAGTGAAGAACAGGTGGTGGTGACTGCTTTGTACCACTAGCTTCATAGGCCCCTTTTCATAAAACAGCTCATGTAAACACCCATTAGGACAGCAATCATCCCCTCCCCAGTAAGTACACTAATGCCAGGTCACCCCATAGCAACCTACACCCTGCTGGTGAACATACTTTGCCACCATGAGGAAATTAGGAGTTGAAGCCTGCTTCACACAGCAATGGAGACAAAACTAGCTTTCCACATTTGCTTGCTGGCATCATGTGAGGAAGTGGCATCTCCCAGCACTGTAGATCTCACTGATGCAGCTGATTTGGGCTAAGGTTATTACTGTTTAGTGGCAGAACAGGTACTCTTACCTTTGGATATGCAACCAAACAATCACTGCATTTAGCCATTTCAGGAATGGTTCTGCCAGACTATTGCTAAAACCTACTGAACTGTTTTTAAACTTCCAGGCAAGGAAGCCTTACAACAAAGGAAAAAAAAAAAAGCATTAAAAACAACAGTTACTCTGAACTCATTAAAAAAAATACAGAATGCAAGTATCTGCAAAATTCCTACTCACCTCTCCAAAGTCTGAAGTGCTTTCTTGTTTAATTCATCCTGAGTGCCCTTCAGAGTAGCTGTAGGACAAGATACAATCCCATTTAAGAGTTGCTTGCAATGTTTCAGATTAAATATTTACATGTGCATAGAGCATTTCAAACTGGGAGCATAAAAACTGTGAAAATCTGGTGGTGTGTGTGTTCATGACTGGAAAACATGCCGTTTTGTTTTGTGTACAGCACAAAACCAGTATTTTAATCTGAATTATCAATTTAATTTTTGTTAAAGGATCTTCCAACTCCCTTTTTTTTTTTTTTTTTTTTTTTTTTACATATGCCACTGAAGGGGTCCAGAAGAAGGGGACATATGCTAACTAGATACTAAGAGCATAAACAGGCCCTCTGCCAGATTGGTGTATATGCTAAAAGCAGTAACTAGCAGTATATTCTGACTCAGATACAGTCCATCTCCACCACCATCTTCATGTAGGAGGGTGTTGCAGGTTGAACAGGGAACACCAGGAGCCAAATTTACAGCTCTACAACAAAATCTTTGACAACACACCACCTCCCTGGAGACAACAACAGACTTTTAGACTACCCCAGGTGTGATATCAACCACTAACGCCCTCCTTGGTGCCTCTAATTGCTTGACTAAAGGATCCTGCCCACTACACTTACTTCTCAATGTGTGAATTATTTCCTAGTCAAAAACATAAGAGGAGAAGAATCAAGTTCTTGTTATGCAAGGGTATCATAAGATATGATCAAGAGCCAGGGGAACAGAGGTAGAGCTTAGGGAAACATGGCTTTCTCAGATCCAAAATATCAAGAAAGCTAGAGGTCTTGTTATGGGTATTAAGTTTTCAGATTTTGCAGAGCAGTTGTTTCTTGTTCTGCCTATCCTGAATTCGAGAACTATTGGTCAACAGCACCAAGAAGAGATGAGTAGTCAATCCATGAGCAAACACCCACCTATTATTATATTTTACTTCATATATCAAGTCGATGCAAACTCCAGAATAGAAAATTATAGTAGTATATACCTAAGCAACAAAACCTGATAAAATTCAAGCATTCTTAAAAGTTACTAAGAGGAAAGAATTGTGTTCTTCTACAAGACGTACAAAGGTAATCGGTTTCTCTGGATTCTGTAACACGCTAGTGAGTGAAACTTTGGAAGTAATTTTGCTGAAGTAGTTATAGTGATCAGACCTTTTTATTCCTACATTCTTCCAACAGTTCTTCAAAACACCAGGCTCATTTGGGACAAACAGCAATCTTCAGAATTTCCCAAATAATTAAGATCAAAAATTGCTTATGCCACAAAATCTACTTAAGTAGTAAAAACTGAACAAAAAAATTTGTGGTTTAAAGAACAAATGTGAATATAGGAGGTTCATGCAAAATGCAGCATTTATTAGAAGTAGCTGGAAATACTTTACTCTCAATAGCCTTAAACTGAGTATTCAGGTCTACTGCCAAATACTGGAAAAAAGGTAAGAGGAGGAAAATTTTGGGGGGGGGGAAAAAAAAAAAAAAAAAAAAAAAAAAAAAAAGATTGATGTAAACATAAAAATGCTTGAGGCAACATTGGAGAGGGTTTGATCATCAAAAAAAGTAATCTCAGATTCCATTTCTCATGGAAACTATAAAATTCCTTATGTAAGCTGAAGAGCAGTTCTGGAGATGCAGCAAAATGAGGAAGAAAAAGAAATTTTACTATTTTGCCCCCCCAAATGAACATCAAATGGAAAGGCTAGGAGAACTTTTAGGTTCCACCTGGTAAGACATTTGACTGATGTTCAGCTTGTAGTCAGAAGGAGCACAAAGTATGTTATGGAAATGAAGTGATTACAACTATTGGCTTTGCCTCTGCACTACTGGGAAACAGCATGTGAGTTCCACCTCCCACAATATGAACTACACCTTCAGCTACGACTAAGTTGGAAATCTGGTTGTACATCTCTAGACTTATGTCTGACTTGGATAAACATGCTGAAATTTGTGTTTGACAATACTCAGGACTGCTGCTGCAAGTTAACCATGCCATTTAAAAAAAAAAAAAAAAAAAAAAAAAAAAAAAAAAGCAGTGAAAAGTGATTTTGGAAGGATGCATAAAAAGAAGCTTGGCCAGCAGGTCAAGGGAGGTGATTTTCCCCCACTGCTCTGCTCTCATGAGATCCCACCTGGAGTATTGTTAGACCAGGTCAAGAGGAAGGCCATGAACACAGTTAGAGGGATGGATCACCTTTCCTATAGAGAAAGGTATAGAGAGCTGGGGTAAAGAGAAAGTTCTGAGGAGACCTTATAGCAGGCTTTCAATACTTCAAGGGCACTTATAAGAAAGATGAAGAGAAGTTTTTTTACCAGTGCTTGTAGTGATAGGACAAGGGGTAATGGTTTTAAGCTAAAAGAGAGAAGATTTAGATGAGATAAAAGGAAGAAATTCTTTACTGTGAGGGTGGCGAAACACTGGAATAGGTTACCCAGAGATGTTGTGGATGCCCCCTCCCTCGAATTGTTCAAAGAAGTCATCATCACTGCAACCACTTGTACCACTGAAAAGCTCTCACTTCAGACAAAGGCAAGCTTGCACCAAGGAGACAGAATTAGGTGACTCTGACTAAACTTCTAGAAGTTGTGCTCCATTCTCCAAGGTTGACAGCACTAATAAATTCTTCAGCCTCTACCCAACTTTACCCACCGTGAGCATGGCTGCTGTAGTTCTACCACCTAAAAAGCAGTATGACTTGTTCTTAGAAATAACACACAAAGCAGTCTGACCGCAGCAAGGTAGAGAGCACAGGGGAGTTTAAGTTTCTGCAACTTCTGCAATTATCCTTGTAAGACACAGTACTTTTGCAAATGCCACCTTCGGAGCCCAGGATTTATCTTCTACAGCACTCTGAGTTTTTAAAGGAGCTTGAGCCTTACAAAAGGCAACAGGATCTTCAGCAACATTTTGGTACCTAAATACAAAGCTCTAAGGTCACATTTGAAAACAGGGTGAGTCTTGTGTTAGTTAGCAGGTGCAGCACAGTAGGTGTGAATGTGTGGAGTGAAATGTTTAATGCTGAAGAACAGCATCAACACTACACAGGGACAGGGGCCTAGTTCTAGTCTTGTCCCATGGACTGAACACCCATTAGCAGCTGCAGCATAATCATGTCTGTTTATGTAGTACATTAGTTTTATGGGAAAGAATTCTGTTTGTATTGTGCAAAACTGTTCCATTATGTGAATCACAACATAAAAAGTGGGGATGATAGAGATGGACTTCAAAAATACATTCCTGATCCAAACTAAAACACCAATGTGCATGCACCCTTTTGCACACACATATCAATGTGTTTCAAAAAATCGTTTCCTTGTGTTAAGACACATAATACAGCAAGGTGTACAGTTTTAGCACACAGAATTATAATTAAAGATTGCATGTGTTGACTGTTATCTCCAGAAGCAAAAATGATGGACTTGTCCACTAATAAGCAATGTCTAATTTTTTTTTTTTTTAACATTAACCAGTGCTGTTAGTATACTGATTATTTATAAAATCCACAAGGACTGATAAAAAAAGTTTCCGATTCAGTCTCCAATCCATGGTGATCTCTAAATTAAAACAGAGATATGGCACATACTCTCATCTCTGAAAGAGTGAGGGTCTGTTAAATCTACAAATATTTCACAAGATGTGATGTGGTGAAGTTAGGTAAGAGCACTTCTATTTCATGATGCATTCTCAACCTCGTCTTTCCTCTTTAGACTTTGTTAAATTCATCTCGCCTCCCCCTGTCTTCAGTGGATTCTTCATCAGACCTAAGGGAGGAAAAGTTGACAATACAGCTTTTATGTCAAAACTGGAACTACAAGAGGAAAAGAAAGGTCTGCTGTTGACATTGACCCACTGGGAACAGATCTGCAGAAAACTTAGCATAGCAATAGATGGATATTCTGTACGAACAAGAGATTCGTGTTTCTAAGTGAGGCAAAAGCGGCAATGACTTCTTCTGAGGACACGTCTTTCAGCTACTTCAGTAAGACTTATTTCAAGAAACATGTAATTTGACATTAAGAACAAGGAAACTACACATACTGTTACCCAGCATAAATTTCAGGAAGTCTTATTTCATCCAGGAGTAATAGTTGTGGGAGCATTTGATAAGAAGTCACTTAAGTTCTTTAAATTGTCATTCTCTCTTCTGACTCAAGTTTTTTAACAAGTACTTTTTGCAGGTCACAAAGAAAATTCTTTAATACAAGTCCTCAGTGCCTCTTTCACACAGGAGGAGAAATATTTACTAAAAGGATATATTAAATAAGAAAGTCTAACCCAAGATGGAAGACATCTTGATATAATGCTGTAAGCTTTATAAGGCAATTGGTCAAATGTCTCTAAAACACTCAGCTACCATTGAAAATGTGACGCACTGAAAGTCAGCTCAAGTGGAAAGATATGGAATTATATATATACACAGATATTTGACCGTGTGCCTGCATATGTCAATATGAACTGATATAAACACAGTTCAGTGATAAACAAGATTGACAGTATGAGGCAGGATTACATAGGGTAGTTGTTCTCTTCCTTTCAGCATGTTCTATCCTTACTTTCTCACTGTGATAAACTATTTTTTAACAATGCTAATGAAAAATGTCTTGTGCAAATTTGACATTTTCTAGTAAAATGCTATTCCATATTCATGATCATCATAGTATGCTTTTGAAGGACCTTTTGAAGGACATTTTATTAAAACCTGAAAAATGGAAATACACTCTTCACATTTCCCTCAAATAACTATTGACTTAAAAGCTAGAGATACAAAAAGAAGGCAGACAGTCCACTGTTTCACCACATAAATCAGGTCTAATCTGGAAAAAAAAATCCAAGGCAGCTGTTGTGAAGACTGTTCCTTTTACATTAAAAAGGACAGTTATTACAACACCTGAACTAATCGCTTGAAAACTCAGAGAAGACTTCTCTTCCAGACGAAAAGTTTCCAACTCACATTTTGCTGCACCAAAGTATTTTTAGAGCCAGAATACAGCACATGCTTCTACAACTCCATTCTTTAGAAACCACCTTCTTTCCATACTGAGGATAACAAATAGATCATAATGGGCTAACACAGAAAACCTTCTATCTCTGAAAATAGTTTCTTGGATCTTGTATAGATTTAGGGACACTTTAAACAAAATCTATGCAAAATGCCCTAAAAATCTAGGCTGTTAAGCAGAACTCCATGTTTAATGAACTTAAATTATATATGAGAGAAAGTTCAGGCTAGAAAGGACATGTGTTTCTTGACATGAACTTTCTAAGGGAACCTACTCTGAGGCAGAGAAATGGAGAACTGAAGAGAGCTATAGTGCCCATTAGCCTCCATGTTGGAAAGCAGTTTTCAGAACAGCTGATCAGATATGGCTGGCTGAAAAAAACCCACTTGCACTACTGAAGAGCACAGGCCACTTCCTCACACACATGCCTTGCAGATTTCTGGTGTAACTTGCAAGGCCAGCATACTTCTATGATACCATGCCGTTATTTTAGCTTTGTTTCAGGCTTTGTTGGAAGAAGTAGATTTGTTTCTGTGAGACCCATCTGACAGAAAAGCCCTTGTTGGCATGTGGGCAGGACTGCCAAATTGATTAGGAAACACACTAGCTCAGCCATTATTCAAAGAAACTATGCTAGCAGGCCTTCTACTTATGTTACAAGCTGTAGAAGAAACAAAGACTACTCCCACCTGTGAGCCTGATGAAGGTCAGAGCTAAAACTCTCCTAAACACTGGGACTTCAAGCCCTTCTGGCTACCAAGCACCAAATCTGCAGGAGTCCATTGTCCAGTCATTCAAAACCCAAACAAGCAGCATTAAAATAAAATACTTCTTATATTCAGTTGTCTGTATCTAGTCAACATCCACACCTACCAGTGAGGTAGATATTTTTATCTTGTTTACTTCTAAGCAGAGAAAGAAACGACATCACAGAGAGGTTGAATCTCTGTGGGGAATCAGTACCACACCAGGAACTGAAGTCAGGCATTTCTAACTCCAGTTCTTGGATTGTATTTCTTCTTGTGATTTACGAGTGGGTGACAAAAATATGAAAATAGATGGAAAGTTTGACTTTTTGTTGTGTACATAGGTAAAAGAAATGTAATACAAATATTCCAGTAAAACACACCAAGCATTGATGGCTGCAGTCAGATTATCACCTCCTAAGTAATGATTTGCATTTCTCTCTTTCCCTAAAAATTTCACTTTTTATTTCCACAGAAGACAGCTATCTGAGCAAGTGAACAGTCCCCATTTGTCTTGCAATCTGATTGTTTTTCATGTCCAGTCAACACTAAGAGTATCTAATAAATTTCCATTGCATGCACTGAAGACTTTGAACAGATGCTCTCCCTACAATACACTTGACAAACAGGGTAACTCACCATCAGTAGCCTGAAGACTGTATGTCAGGCCCAGTGCCAGGTAACCCTTTGCTAGGGACTCTCCAGCATCCTCACCCAGGTCTATCACCATTTTAGCGAAGTGTTCTCCTTCTTCCAGCTGCAAAAAAGGTAGGCTGAGACTTACAGGCATTTCCTTTATACTTGCTTCCATAAGATTATCCCATTAAACTTACCTGAACTGATCCGAGAGTCATACAAGGGCTTTCAGTGATCATGGTAAACGCTCGTAGGAAGGAAGATGTAAGAAGGTCAGATAAGCAGACCTTGGTGCATATGCACAGTTTTGAGACAAGTTTTGGTTTTAAGCATCTACCCCAGATTATTTCAAGATGTTTAAGGTTAATGAAGAACACTATTTTATTTTTGTATTTCACTTCAGGCATGCTTCAATCATGCAACCTTAAACACAAAATGTTGAGCCAACTGACTACTTATTTACCATCCTAGCAGTACATTGAAAGGTCTAACAAGTTGACCACCCAGTTTTGCTGTATGATATTTTTAAACGTTAGCAAATTTTACTTCCTTTCAAAATGTTACAAGAGTAAAACTAGAAAGCACTTCACTGCAAGCCAAGTTCAGCTGCTGCTTGCAGTTCTGCTGCCACAAGAAGGAGGCAGCAAATTCAGGACACAAATTTTGATCTGAAAACTACCTTAGCAGCTCATGCTGCATAGCCACATTTTGCATCTCGTACAAAGACACAATTTCCTGGAAAATGCATTTTATTACATATTATAATGGGAAGAGAAAGCAGTCATGACCTCACAGGATCAGACTCCTAAATGGTGAAATACATAAGCCAGCCTCTTCTACTACAATACAGACTGCTCTCCCCCACCTTCCTTTCTAGCTGACCACACAGATCTAAATCTAATGAAAATATAAAACTTCAGTATCTTCAAAATCTGAGTTAATGATAATTTAAAACAAAAAAGAATTTGAATATTTGATTACAGAATAGAGTGTTCCTCATGTCTAACCTTTAATTTTCATTACATCAGTCACCATTATAAGTAGAAAAGACTAAGACCTGTAGACTGTACAGGTATCTGGAAAGGTATAGGTTGGAGAGGTAAAGGCAAAAGCTGCAAGTGTTGCTTGAAAGACCCAGAGCCTACAGAAAGACCTAATTTCTGTACAAGATAGTCTGCAGATTCTGTCAATGATAATCAGTCACCCCTAATCAAGAACATTATCCAAAAAATCCTCCTTTTGGAAACTTTTATTATACGACAACTGATTTTCTGGGATGGGGTTGTTTAATTTTGTGGAAATACATTTTTGTTTGAAATCCAACTGGTTTATATGCAAGTACTGCAGACATAACTGAAACACACTCTCTTAATACTCAGCTTTGTCAGAATATAGCACCCCCATAGTTCCTTGACATCTAAAAGGAGTCCCCTGTAATGAATCAAAACATACCAGCAGACCAGAAAGGCCTCTTCTGCAGTGGTCTGTTAATATACTACCTATGAACAGAACCTATTTGACTTGCTATACTATTCAGTCAATTGGCCTCCTTAGTTATATCACTTGAAGACATTCAGGTGACATTAACAGCTCCATAAACAAAGGACCTGGTATTTATAAGATCATATCAAACATAAGAAAAAAAATTCTGTTAACGTAAGCATGAAAAACGGCTGGAAAGTGCAAGGGAAGAAGCAGTCTCTACTGCCTGGGTCTTTTCCTCACTTGTACAGCCACTTGAGGCCATACAATTCAAACTAAAAGCAGACCAACAATTTGCAAATTTCTGAAACCTTAGATCAGTCAGCCCAATGACCAATGTATATTTTGCCATCAAACTCTTCCCTGAAAACATTACAGTCTTGCTGATTGCCTAGTCAACTGTGAATCTTGAAATTACTAATTGAAACAGGAATACCCTCTTGGGGCATAACTTGGGGCCACTAACTAAACTGCAAGGACTGTCTTTAATGGCATAATCCAAAGTCTACTGAAAACATTGGAAATAGTTTTATTAACTTCGGTGATGCTCAGATTAGACCCTTTAAACTCTGATCACACAAGGAAGACTAAAATTTGTTCCAGGAGATTTCTTAATCCTGTCAGTAGCCCTGTTGACTTCCCTGACACATACTGAAGCGTGTTGTGGTCCAAAGCCTAGGACAATGGAAGAAGAAAGTGTCCCATGACTTGCCACACAGGAAAAAAACCCAACCAAACAAAAAAATAAAACTAAAAGAAAACCACCACCACCAAAACTCTTCCCAAGAAACAATAAATAAATTTTTCAGTTCTAAGGAACTTTTTATGTAAGACATGTAGACTCTGCAGCCAGAAAATTAATTATGCACCTATTTTGCCACAATAAACAGCTATATTCCCACTCAATTTTTTCATTGTTTCTCCTCTTCTCCCCACACACACTTTTGTCCAAGAAGTCTCCATGAGATGAAGAAAAAAGCTATACAAGGAATTCTAATAACTAGTGAACAAGGGTAGGGGTGGGTAGAGAGTATGAAAAAAGAGATTAAATGAAAGGTTTGGAGTTGAAATGGAGACATTTAAAATTGGAGAGATTGTGCTCCATTGTTTCCATAAATGGTCACCTGATGGTGTTTCCAGTCTCTGACTGCTGGCCTATGCTGCATAAATCAGCAGCACACCATTCAGCTTTCTTGCCTGCCAGTTATCCAGGGCCACCTGTGAGTGTCAGATAAATGTATTGTATGAATAATTAAAACCACAACTTTCCAGAATGGCTGAAAGAGCACTTCTAGCACAAACATTCTTGTAAACATTTATTCACACTAAATACTAATGGCACTTTGACCAGCCACAAAGATTCTCATGAATGCTAGCTTTGGTCAGCTGAAGGCTGCTTTGAATATAAGTGGCCTTGCAAACTCCAGCACAGCTGGTTCTGTTTGTAAGAGCACAGACTTTTCCTTCTTACACCACTCAGTCACTTCCCCTGCCAGCCCTGCTGTGGCTGCCATCTGCCCCATCTTCCCCTGTTCTCCTACTCTTCACTCATTCTGGGTAAGTGTGAAAAGCCAAACTTTTCACTCATGTCACTCACTGGGAGGTTTCAACTCTCCAGTGCATCAGTCTTGCTGATTGCCTAGTCAACTATGAATCTGGAAACTGCTAACCAAAACAGGAATAACCCCCTTGGGGCATACTTGGGGCTACCAACTAAATTGTAAGGACTACCACATTGCAGTCTGGATGGAAACTCCCTCTCCATACTCCCTAGTGAGGGACCAGTAGTGAGCCTGAGCTGTGATCTGCCATTAAATCTGTGTCCATGGGGTTCTTAAGTATATGAGATGTATCCACTCTGTGCTGCAGTGATGGGAAAGGGAGGGGAAAAGACCTCCAAATGAGGCATCAACACCTTCAGAGTCCCACCAGATACAACATACCTAGCTGCAGCTCTTGCATGCTGCCACATGACCTGAAGCAGCAGGAGCTGCTCCCCCTTTCCCCTCTTCCCATGTGGTGTTGGGTACATGAAGTCTCACCCTGTGGGACTCCCAGAAGTTATGAGCTTGAAGTACACAGTAGTGATCTAAGTGTCAGAAAGCTTTATCAGAAGAATCAAAGACATCCATGCCCACTGTTACTGCACAGCCAGGGGCCAGCCTTAATATGAAGGGAACCTGAATGGTTCATGTACTTCAGAGGATGACTGCAATCTTACGGTGACAGAACACTGCATTGGAAGGGCAAGGAACATGGTTCAAAACTTCTTGTGGCAACTTATAGACCCTTGTTAGTAATGTCACAGGATGCCACAGGATGTCCTCCCCCACAGCAGGCACTGCACAGTGTCACTTTGTGATTAGGAAATGCACAGCATACTGCTGTTACCTGGTCACTAGCAGCACAGACAGCAGCTCCAAACATCATGGTAAAGATATTTCTTTGGGCATCAAGAGTGCTGGTAACAGCTCAAATTTAGTTTCCCTAGAATCACTACTTATTATTGTCTCACAAGCAAGCAAAAACCAAAGTCTCAAAGCCACACAAATATACCTCCAATTTGGCCCTTACTGTCCTTCCATTCTTCAGCATACCTTGCACTGAACAGCGGGTGGAGAGAAGGGCAGTACCACAGGTTACAGGGAGAGGTTCCCTGCCTCCAAGACCCGCACAGAAGAAAACTCAGAGAGCAGGTGTGGGGGAAAAACAACCTAAAAGGAACTTTTCATATTTTGAAGTCAAGCTGTATAAACAGTCAGGCAGCACCTGGAAGCACCAGCTAAACAACCAACCTCTCCACCACCAAAACCAAGCACACACCTGGCACCTGTTAAGAGACAGACTGCCAAATTGTGAGCTGACGCTGGTAAGACTGTAATACTGTAGGGTGGTTATGTTGGGTTTTTTTTCACCCCTTCCACCCTCTCCATCATCTTTGATGGAAAAGGAACAGTTGTCAGCTGTGTAACCCTGAGGGATATTTTCCCTGAAACAGAGTGGCTGTTCCAGCCACCCTTGTTATTTGACCGCAGGCTTTGGTGTGTGCTCGAGCCAAGCCTGGGGGCATACTGACAAGGGAGTGGGGAACAGCAGGTGCTGTCCCCTGGCCTATCGCCACCCAACTGATTTCCAACTGCCGCCCAGCTTGTTTTTAGAAAAGCTCAAGTCCTACCCCACTCAATCAACACCCTCCAGGACCATAAGTGGGAGCTGCAGTTCTCACCAGCATGGGTTTAGAACAATTGAGGACAAGCAAATTGATGATGTACAGCAGCATGGAAATGGCATCATACTGCGCCAAAAGAGAAGAGTGCACAAGGGAGGAGGCAGGAAACACATCAAGTCACACTGGACAGCACAGCAGACAAGGTTAGTGAAGCAGGAGAGTTTGGACACGAGTGAGACTGAGTGACATGCAAGCACATAAGAGACCCAAATCCTACAGAAAGGGCATCCAAACAAAATTATATGATATTAACTAGTTGGATTGACCTTTTCTGAACCTTTTCATTATATTGTGTTGTATAATGAAAATATAGAAATATAGAGACTAATTCAAAGAGGAGAAAAAATTAAATACTGGGAAAAAGAATGAGCAGAGGAAAAATGCATAGGAAGAAAGCGGCCAATAAGGCCCAGTATAATGGAGAGGTTTCATGCCACAGCTGTTTACAGCATACAAAGCCAATCATGTTACATATGTCAGGAAAGAAAATTTCTGTTCTTTCTGTTGTTGGTCTAGTCAGGATTTTCTCCATGCATCACCAGTGCTAAGCCCACCAACTTACTCTGCATGTAAGCTTAGCCCCCAAGCACTTCTGAATTCCGTGCCTTTCCTCCACTGTAGCAAGAGTGGTTTGTTCACAGGGAAGATGTATAGAGGCAAAATTCTTGGTCATTTTTGATGTCTAAAACTCTTGGAATTGCCCCAATAACAGAAGCTACAATGTAAACAAGAATGTTTTTTAAAAGATGGAAGAAATCTCTAGCGGCTCCATACCATTCACTGTTTTCTCAGTAGCCTCTTGCCCTAGCGATGTGAGTCCTCTAGAGCATCCACTCAGCAGGCATAATAACTCAAATAATGGGACTAGATTTGATTTTTCAATATTATTCATACAGTATGCAGTAAGACCTAAGCATTTCCATGCGACTCCAGGGCTTCTGGGTGACTGGGTACAAGCACATGCACAGCATTTATTATCTATAGTGACAGGGTCAACAACGGACAGAAGAGAGAAGCACTCTCGGATTAAGTGGTCTGTGAAAGTAATGAATGATAAGCTGTTACCTCAGAAGCACGCAGCTCTAAATCTACAGCCAACCTTCCCCCCTCCCACGATGTACTGACCTCATGGTATGTCTTACTCACTTTTTATGACTCCATGCATGGTCTGGCCTGGCCCAACCCCACTGTCTTCTCCCCTTCCCTGACTGATGGCATGATCTCTGCCTTCCCAGCGAAGTGCTGGAGCAGAGCACTTCATTGTGCACACTAGGATCGGTGAGTTAAAAGAAATGAGGGAAACGTCTGAGAGGCACAGCATCATCTTGTGCTGCAGCTTTTCCCATGGGGTGAAGTCCCTCCAAAAGCTCATGGTAGCTGATAATACTGGTATCATTTGGTGCTACACAAATTTAGCACAACACTATTTCTACTGTATCAACTATGGTGTAATAAAATAGTAAGAACATGCCTCATGTCTTCCTACTCTGTCAGACCAGAGTCCTAGAAAATTCAAGCCTATCCTTGTCTCTATATGTATTTACAAAGTCTTCAATATGCCTCCATTGAAATCAATAGAGTAAAAGGCACAAGAAAGCATAATAGTAACCCTAAGTGCCTTTAACTAAAGCTCCTAAAAATGGAGAAATTCAGTATTTAACCCTTACCTGTAGGCAGAAGTTCTGGTTTTAGTATTTTCACAACACATTCCATTACAGGGTCCTGGAGACCCTAGATTAGTAGTGAAATTAATGGTACTGTACTATTAAAATGTAAAAACAACAACTCATGCTGCAACTCAAAGTCACTGCCAAAATAGGCAAGTGAGCATTCAGCTGAGGCCTTGCCAGGAGTGAAAGCGGAAATTACAGCAAGCCTTTTAATAAGTGGAACCCTGAATTTATAGTGGACCAAGGCAGAACAACCTCAATATACACATATTCCACTCTAAACTACATCGATTTTCCTACGAAAATTTAAAACAATACACAACTGCAGTAGTCGAAAACTTTATCGTTCATTCTGGAAAGCTAAAAGACAGCTGGCTAAACACAAATGGGCTTTGTGTTCACTTGCTAGAATCATTCATATGTGAGTTCAGCAAACTGTTGTGCTGAAACCCTGGCAAACTGGAAGGCTAGGCAGCATGATGCCTCAAAAGTAACTGAGCCTACCACAAAGACATTTGAAACACCTGTGTAATGGGCTAGACACAGTATAAAAGTTCCAACTTTGCCAAAACCTTTTGTATCTTATGAACTTTATTAAGCACAGATCCAACTGAATCCTGACCAGACAAGTTGGTCTATATAGATGCACTAGTTCTGGAGCTTTTCTGGTCCTCCAAGACAACTGACACAAGCTTTAGAATTAATGAAGTATTGATTTATTGTTCGCTCTACCTTTTTAAAAAAATTTGTGAAAACCTGCAATCCTGAAAAAGGTAACCAAAATATTGTTTATATCACTCAGCTATTTACTGCAGATCCAATCCTGAAAGCTAGTGGTCGATGGGGCAGATCATCTGCTGATGTAAGCCAGCATGGAGCCAATAATATGACAGTGGAGTAGTGCCATTTTACATCAGCTAATAATCTGGTCATACTGTCACAACAGAAGCTGGGGGCATTTAGTTCTTTTCCACATCAGGCTCTGTTATACATTGATTTGCATGACACAGTATGAATGTATGCATGTTTTATACTTTGTTTTGTTCGGCATGAGACATCATTTCATAGATGTGCATCCTCAAATGTTGTAAATCACTATGTTACATTTCAGTGAATTTTTTGTTTCCCCAGTTCTTAAGTGTGCTGAGACATCGTGTACAAAGCCAGCAAAATGCTTTAAATGACCACTAGATTAATCAGGAAAGAAACTGTTCTGTGCTCCTCATGTCATTCTGTAATTATCCAGCTGCATAAACGGTTTTGAGTTTTTTTATTGCTAGTAACTGAAATGAGATTAAAGTAATGCTTGTCCATGGACCATAAACAGAGTACAATTCTGCACCAAAAGCACATAGTAGACAGATGCAGTATATATAAATTAGCTGTTTCATTTGGATAAATGGTGATCTGATTTTACCCTTTTCCTGCCTAGCCAGCAATCAAGTACATAGATATATTTCCTAATTGAGAAATTAATCATATTTTATATGTTCTGAAAAGCAAGATATATTTGTGTATTTGCAACTGTTAATATTTGTCCATTAGACTGTTCCCATGCCATGTCTATCCTCCTTTCTATTTATACTGGCATTGATCAGCTTGTTCACTTCCAATTTAAATGATTCAATTCTGATTTGATTGCTATGTAATTTAAATGCAAATAATTACTGTAAGGATGACATTTAGAAAAACAGCTCTGCTAAGCAGGAAGGTCTTTATTAGGCACAGGAGTTTGCCAGTAATATCAGAAGCATCCCTCTGACTATGAGATGTGGGACTCCATCAATTCAGTTCTTTTAAAATATGCTCTGATTTTCCCCTAACTCCCCTTAATTAAAAATCTTCTATACCATCATCAAGTTTGGTACCAGGGTAGAGCATAAGCCACTGAGTGAAAGAGGGGAGAAGAATATTTTTAATTTGGTTTTAGTTCATAAGGTTGCACTCTATATAACTGCAGTAAAATTACCCTCTTGTGAAATCATGTTTATATTTTACATTGCACCCCAGTTCTGAGTCAGGGGCTGATTGAAAGTAGTAGATAGAGGAAAAAACCCTCTTACTTTGCAATAATCAAACTGTACTTTATCAGCTCTGCCATGTATGAGAAGTCTGGATATACTAGATTGTCTGAGGACGGAGTTGGGACAGTCTCACCATCTTTTCTAAGTATCTCTATAGCAAGGTATTTTTTATATGCTAGCTGTGCTAGCAGATTCAAAGAGACTTTGGGGAGAAGCACCAAAGAGAAGGACAAATCCTGACTCTGACCATTTCCTGGCACAGCAGCATCCTCAATTTCGGCTCATAATTTTACATTCAACTCCTCATCCATCACAGTCAGCAGACTTTAATGGCACTATTTGAAATTTATTCCTCAATAGTGAGAGCCGTATAAACACCATGAAAGAAAGGGATTCTATGCTATTTCTTTTCTTACTTATCCTCTCACCTCAAGACACATCAATGACCCAATGTTTGGCAGAGTGACTCCGTTAAAACTTCTCTATATAGAGAAGTACTTCTCCATATAGAAAACACAGGTAGGTTGAGTAGTTCAGCAAGAATTCCTTCAAAATCTGAAAGATTTTTCCTAGAACATGATAATTCCCAGTTTTTGCTGACTCACATGTAAGTTGAACCATTATAGTTCAAACAGTACAATTAATTCAAAAACATACATAACCAGATCTCCTTGTTGACACCACTGTAGTGTGTAAACTGATATAACTCAACTAAGCTTAGCTGAATACAAACTTTTCACCAGACGGGGATGTAGAGGATGGGGAGACAGAGGGTAGGGGGACACAACAACAGTAGATCTAGCTCCTACAACTTTGCACCGAAATCTGGGCAGATTCTTCTAGTATTTTCTTTCATATTTTCCTGCATCTTCGTTTTACTTGTAGTAGAAATTATAATCCTTCATTGACTGCAGGGACACCTCGTGGTGAGGACAGGTGAAATCAGCAGGCTGCCATTCAAGTAATTAAACCAAGCAGCAAAAGACTGACAGATGTTTTTGCTCCTTGGGATAATCAGAATTTCACAGGCACAGACTTCCACTCCCACTCTGCTTCTGGGGTATACATTAACACATCCAGAACAGAAAACACTGACACAGCAACTTCAAGAACAAAGGACCAAGTCATCCAGAAGACCTGAACTGTCTAACAGTCCACCTAACAACTATTAACTTCTGTCTTCCAGGGGTTACATGAGTGGCCCATTCAACTCAATACTCAGTTGAAGAAGCAGTCCCCAGAATGGCTATTATGGCTTTCCCCCCTCCTCCTTTGTTTAACGTGCCAGCAAAACACATTTCAGTGACTCACTGCAGAATTTCTTGCTGGAATTTTCTTTTTTTTTTTTTAAAGGCATGCATGCACATATGATTTTTAACAGGGATTCTCTTTCTCCTCACTGCAACTACGCGGTGGCACTGTCACTACCGTACCTGATCCCTTACATCATAAGAATTGCATCATGTTGCTTACCCAGTGCAGTGGCCCAATGCAGACCTTGGCAGCCAGAAGAGGAACGATGGGATCTGTAGGTCGCAGTTTAGCACACTCTTTGAGCACTGACACAGCATATGCTGACTGGAGGAGGAGGAGGGGGAGAGAGGAGGAGGAAATAAAAAAGGCTGATTAGACAATGCTGTTAAGAGTCTAAGCAAGATAATTCAGTGAAATGTACAAAGAAGTGCTATGAAGTAAGGAATCAATGTCAGCAACAAGTTAGCAACTTTATTCCCACCTCCACACACAGACACATGTGTGCGCACATGCGCATGCAAACACACACTCTTCCCACGCTCAGAGGAAACATGCCAAAGAACCAGCCCTGGCTGTGCACTTTACAAGAAACAGTTTTCCTCAGCTGTTAACACACTGGTTATTTTAACTCTGCCCTCCCAATTCACAAGAATGCTGCTACAGTTTTCCTTGCACACAACCATTCTCCAGTAATCCAGAAAAGATCATAAAAAGCTTATCCTACAGTATGATAACATTCTAGGCCAACTCTACTCAGAGAGAGGTTTGTGTATCTAAAGTAGTCTGCTATGTGGATTGGTTTGTGTCTTCTCCAGTTCCAGAGCATACAACTGGGATCCCACCATACAAAGGGTGGAGCAAGCAACTGCAGAGCAATACACTGTTCAGAGGATGGGCCAATTAGCATATGTTAAAAAGAAAGCCCATAAAACTTGCTGTCTTCCTGGTGTTAGATTACCATTAATGAATGACATTTATGAAGACTAGCAGTTACATAGCCCTTTTGATTCAATATGCTCTACAAACATTGCTTTTTACAGCACATACGCATGGCTGCCACATTTCAGTAACTTTAAAGGGGAACGAGGAAACCTCTGTTCTGAGATCCTGGCAAGAAGGTCTGGTCAGCCAATGAGGAGGTGGCAGGGTTGCCCTGCCACAGCCCTCCAGCCCACCTCACCCGAACCACAGTTTCTTTCATGTTTCCAACCCTCCTCACTGCTGACCCATGATACCCCCAAACTCTCTCATCCCTTGAGCTCCAGGGGAAGTTTTCTCCTCTCAGAATTTCTCCTTACGTGTTCTTTTCCTCCCAACTCTTCCACACAGTCCCAACGCATACACAAGCCTCTCACAAGCACATTAATCATGACCTTTCCATATTACAGGAGAGCAGCAACAGAAGCTTGCAGAGTCATACTAACCACTGCTTTTATCAGGTCCTGGGCACCTCCTCCTGACCCCCAGGGTCTCTTCCCACCAGAGCTCTGACCAGCACAGGTGGTTAGGTCTGGTGTCTGCTCCGATCTCTTGCAGCCCTGCACTGCAGCTTCACGCTCCAACCAGACAACAGTACTTCCCCTCCCTCACACCACACCAAAGCAGGCTGCGCCTGCTGCCTCCTTTCTCCATAAAACTGAAGGTTCTCTTCTTGCTACGGGATTCAAAAACCTGGATAGGAAATTGCTTGGAAGGGAGCCTGGGAAAAGGGAAAACCAGATGTAAAGCAGCCCTGTCCATGCTAATCTGAAGATGGGTTTTGTAACCAAAGACGCAAGCTCCACAGCAGCAGAGAGCAAATCCACCTACTTGAAAAGCTTGGATACCTGCTGTGTGGTCTGAAGAAGATCAACAATATGCCCTAGGTTCTCCAGTCTGCTCCCACCTACCTAGAGCATCAGGTATCATCAATAAAATTAAGGAAATGCTTGTTATTTTACAATTCCAAACGCACAATTTGCCTAAAGCCAGAGGCAAGCTTGTCTCAGGGTAAAGATGGGAATCAATAAACCTCATCCTAGAGCTTAAACTCTCAAAAACAAAGACTTGGGTAATTCAACTCTGAGGTACATGAAGAAACACATCATTGTGTTCTGCTGTCACAAGGTGACTAGCATCCCTCAGAATGAACCTCCCTGACACCTACTTTTCAGAACAAGTAGTGTCTCAGGTTTTAATGGCATCTTATTCCTCTCTCTGACAGAATGCTACCTGCAGAATTCCCAGTAGCACTGCTGGACATGTTGGAAATGCAAACATAACCCTGTGAGGGTCCTAGCCTGGCACATCATGTTTCTGTCCTGCTGCCTATATTCCAGCCCCACAGGGGCTTCCAGACAAGAGATATCCAAAGAGTAGAGCAGGACAACAATGTACCTTGCTGGTCAGTGTAACTGCAGCTGAACCCCCCGCAACCCTTGTCATCTCACCATGCGAAAGTGAACTGAAAAGGTCAGGTATGTAAAAGACAACACACTGTCCGGTGCCAAAGCTTTCAGAAACAGATAGAAAATAAAGCCAGTGGTAATTTCTCAGCTTCCCATCAGCAGCATGACTGCAGGAAAAGCAAGAAGCATCTGGGAGCTGGTGTCACATGCCTCACAAGCCAGCACAGCCAGCACTAGCACAAACCAGAGCAGTGAGAGGACCGTCCTATTTTGGGCCACAGCTGTAGCTCCTTCCAGGGTCTACACCAGAAGAGAAGTGATACAACCCAGCTCCCTGCCAGTTCCTTTTGACCTCCGCTCCCAACCTGTCTGCAGCCTGTCTACTGAGTCAGGATGGAACTTGGGACAAGCCAACCCTGCAGCCTCCAATAGCCTTAAACCATAGAGCACTTCTCATGTCTGTCCTGAGTCTGTTCAGGAGGCAACTGCAGAACACAGTGACTACTGAATGCTGCAAAGAAGAAAGTCCCACCCTGTGCCTACACCCAAACACCTCTTGTGTGGAGTCGCTTCATCACATGCACTTGGGAGCTTCTGAACATGGAGCTGCAGTTTCCACACTGCTTCTGAAACATTTACAAAGCTATGTCACTTTAAAGTTTATAAAATTTGCAATTAAACATATGAAACAGAAGTGGTTTTTGAAACACGGTGACATGAAGCCCTTCTCCCCAGCTGCATTTTAAAAATTCAAGAGATCTAAATAATTTCACCTTGAAAACTTAATTCAGCAGAAATTATATAGATGATCAAAATGTTAGCCAAGGAATGACGGGAGAAAGAATATCCCACTGCCACAGTGACCTTACTTAGGGGAGACTGGTATGAGGTGTTTTAAAGATATGAATTACATACATTAATAGGCAGGGAACAAATATCATCCATTAAGTATTGAATACAGATGTCACTGGTTTGTAAAAATATTTAATATGAAACAGTTGTTTATGTAACACTGAAATAATCTGATAATTAAAATGTACATATTCTTTCACTTAGCGTGGGTGCACCAGGCAGCCAAGCGCATTGTTTGTGAGATTCACTGCAAGGCAATAATAATTAGATTTATTGGCGAGGCATGTTTTGAGAAGAGCAGAACTTGAACTCCAAGTGCGTGCATGCTTCCTACTCACAATTCCAAGCTTCAGATGGGCTCACAACAAAATTCAAGCCAGGGTTTAAGTTCTGTCTGTTTAGCTTGCTAATTGCTGGATGATAATGACTGCACTGGAACCAGTTCCCAAGGACTTTAGAAAGCTAGGGATTTGCCTCTGGGTCTCATTTGGCCTCTCTCTGGGAAAAAAAGCTTTTAAATCCCCTCAAACACATGGTTTAAAAAAATTGCAAGCTTGCCAACAGCTGCCTGATGGGGGTTTCAACTTTGTTTATAGGAGGTCTAATGTAGGAGTTCTCAGCCTTGGGATTCTCACCAGGTTTAAGGAGATTCATGACCATCCTTTCTTTGCTATATGACCAATAAAGCACAGAGCTCAAATCAGGCTATGGAGTGAAAACACTGCTTTAATGGGAATGTTCAGCCACCAAAAAAAACCACCCCAAAAAAAGGTGAACTGTCTAAGGGACTTTAGAATTTCACTTATCTGAGTTGGGCATCTCCATCCCTCACACATCAACAACTTTGTGCTTTTTACAATGGAGATGAGGAAGGAGGTGACGCTACTGCTTCATATTTAAATCCAATATCTATAGGAAGCTGATTTTGTCTGTTATTTTTTCCTTACCTAATCTACTTGCATACAGTATTTTCCTTCTGCAGAGATTGCAAACATGCTCCACACTAATTTATGAAAAGAAAATTAGAAAAGGCAGTTTCTGTGAAGTAGCAAGCAATACTGACAAATGGCTTGCTTTTGATACAGACCTCTGAAAGAGCTCTATGTATCACACCCAGTATCAGGGTGGGTGGGACATGACACTTCTCAGTCTGCAGCAACAAATCACAAGTAAGTAATGGAGAAGGAGAAGGATGGAAGGGAGACCTCCGCCTATGTAATTACAGCAGCCATGGTTTTGAATCCTATAAAGGGAGTAAAACATAAAGAAAAACTTCTATCCAAATACAAAACACAACTCCTATTCTCTGTTTACTAATATTATATAATGAAGCATGCAAGCATACTCCTCAACAATGCTTTCACATGAGCAGTACAAAATGAAGAATAGTCTACAGTTAATTCTCTTTCTTACTTTTCCAAAAGGCTCAACAGATCTTGCCATCAATTATGGTAAACGCATAAATGCTGCCCAAATGCTGGTTTGACAAGTTCACTCCAACACAATTTCCAATCTTTCCCCTCCCCTTCCCTCCCACCATACCAAATCAATAAAAGAAGGATGTCAGAGATTAGTTTCATATTTAGAAGATAAAGAAACCACAAATGTAAGTAAAAGGAAGAAGAATTTCCAGACAGTAAATCATGCCAGGCAGACTCGACACACCATAAACAGTTGCTCTTCTCTTGCAAAGGTTCCAAAAACCTTCTTTGGTAACACTTTTCAGCCAAAGGGAAAAATGTTCCTTAAGGTAGAGAGCCTCATTCCCAATTCACCTGGCAGTTTAGTACACAGATGAATCTCCACAACTAGTACTGCTTCATTTCTAGCATCATCCTGTCTTGATTTTAAAAACTGCACTATTTTAAAGAGATTGTGGGGAAGGGGGTGGGGAAGGCTTTCATCATTATGCAAGAATTAGTATTCCCTGTATCCTGGGATTCACAGCCATCTAGCTATAAGTGACCTTGAACCAACAGGAGATGACAGAGTGAGCCAGCAATTGAGAACTCTGGAATTAGTTGTTCTGGTGTTAAGATTTTCACTGAATTTCTGGATTTCTGCAAATCCCTCAGCATGAACAAT